TATTAATAATGTGGTTGTGTATTACAGGTGGATATTAATAATATGGTTATGTATTACTGGTGGATATTTATAATGTGGTTGTGTGTGACTGGTGGATATTAATAATGTAGATGTGCATGACTGGTGGGTATTAATAATGTGGTTGTGTGTGACTGGTGGATATTAATAATGTGGTTGTGTGTGACTGGTGGATATTAATAATGTGGTTGTGTGTGACTGGTGGATATTAATAATGTGGTTGTGTGTGACTGGTGGATATTAATAATGTGGTTGTGTGTGACTGGTGGATATTAATAATGTGGTTGTGTGTGACTGGTGGATATTAATAATGTGGTTGTGTGTGTGACTGGTGGATGTTAATAATTTACAAAAATCACTGTGGAGAGAGAGATTAAATTTGCATCACTGAATTGTGTTTTGTTATAAAGGCCTTGAAACAAACTGTAATTTGAAACAAATCAGCCCATTTTGGAACATCCAGTAAAGCCCATTTGCTGTTTAAACAAGCTAAATAATTATACAGGACACTGAAAGTTATAATTTTCCTACATGAAAATGTATTTTCAATAGGTACTTCTCTCCTCTCACAAGAATAGTTTATCTTGTTTTGTGCTGCCCTGTATAGGCAAACTTTTTCAGAAACGCATGCTATAAGCCTTCAACCTCCAACACTTCCCTCATGTAAATCATCATGTGTCACCTCTCCACCAATAGGAGAGCACTACTATCACATTATGCCTGTGACTAACTCTACACGACATTACCGAACATCACTTCGAAGTTTGGCAGAAGACACGAGCACCAGAAGATTATTTGGAGGACGGGTGGGAAGTGTAAGAACAGGAAAGTGCCTATCGGAAACACATTTTCATTTAGGAAAATTATAACTTTTGATGAGGTACTCTCCCTTCGCTAACAAGATTAGCTTGAATCCCACATTGAAATGAAGAAGGGACCGGTGCTAGGGAAGCACAGGCATATCCCCTGGAAGTGTCCAGAGGACACACCCAAAATGAGAGGAACATATGATGATCTGAGGAGGGGTACTAAACAACATCTGAGATAGGTTTCTCTTCACCAGGAACACTGACATCATCAGGAGGACTAGACATGGGAGAACTTAAAAGGGAGCACATCGATGTGGGAGAGGATAGTTTACCAATATGATTTTAAACAAAAACCAGAATCACTCAATCCCATGATGGAAAATGGGCAAGTGAGGATGGTGCAAAGTGGCTAGGGCATGACAGACCACAGTCAGTAAGTCAACTACATCCAAAACTTCACTCGCTGGGTACCGACATCCTCGCAGGAGTAGGAGGAGGGCATCCAATCAGATGGGTGAAATGCATTTCGGCATCTCAACTCTGGGTTATAGTCATACATCTGGAGGATCTTGCAACTCCCTTTACACCAGCAGAACACCGTCGCTCTACTCTGAACTGAATGGTTATAGCCATCTTTGTGGAATCCATCCAGCACAATGTCTCCATGGTCAACCACCCTAGCGGCTTGGAACTGGTAAGGACTCCCTTACTCCACTGGAAGAAAGGAGGGAAAAGTGCAGTGGAGAGTCCAGAGGGACTGCAACACCCAAGACAGTGCAATGGGTGATCATGAAACCCTATTTTGAAAAGCAAACCACATCAATTTATTCACTCTAGGCAATCCCCTTCTGCTTTACATATGTCATACATAGGTAGTACAGTCTGAGATGGGCATATTATGATGCAGTTATCATGAGGATCTAGGGTGAGCGAACATAGCCATGGAAAATGTATAAGAATCAACATGACTTACAGTGCAAATTTGCTATCAAAATGTTTGCAAATGGTTATAGCTATCTAAGTGGAACCCATTCTGAGTACAGACAGAATACTTGGTCAAGCACCACTGCCACAGAGCAAGATCCAAAGTGAAGCTGAAGCAGAAGCCCCTAAAAGAAAACATTAGTGTGGGCTTACTCATGTCACAGCTTTGCCAAAGTCTGTAGAATAACCACAGGTGGCAGACAATACTCTGAGAAAGCAGAAACAGCAATATATTATAGATTGTGGGAAGTGAATGTATGCGAAGTCATCCACATGACCAATAGTATAATATCTTCCAATGGCCGACAAAGATGAGAGGCAAGGGAGAAGGTAATGTGATGGATTTGATATGAGGAAATGTGAAAAATATCATGCTGGGAAGGAGACAAGGAGGAATAAGCCAACTGAATCAAAGGTTGAACCCAATTGGTCAGGGTAACCGGGAAATGATCACTGGAAGAGGAAGGATGCCAAGGGATAAAAAGGTGGGAACGAGGACTCCGGAAGGAAGCCATAGGAGCAAGAGAACAATGGAAGGCACGGACAAGACAGAGGAGTCAATCCGGATCAGGAGAAGGGTAGACATGAGATATAAAGGATAAGCAGTTAGGGGAAAAAAAGAGTACTTACCTTATTGAGCCACAGAGGTCTTGGGAAAGAAAGCATTATCCAATTAAAGGATGAGGTAGGGTGAGTGGTACAAGGTCCTGGTAATGTCAAGGACAAAAATATCCAACCTATGATGCCTGCAGGCTAGGAGGAGGAGGAAATATGCCTTCTAGGAGAGGTGAAACAAGAAACATATAGACAGAAGTTCAAATAGAGGTAAAGTGAGGGCATGGAAGACCACATTAATGTCCCAGTCCAGGAGTGACGGATGCCTCAGGGGCCAATTGAGCTGGAGGGAACAGATGAACATGGAAAGGACAGGGGAAGCAAAGACCCTACAGAAGCAGGAAAAACATAACTTATGGGATAACACTGCTCAAAACCCTGAAATCGAGGAGACCAAAGAACCCCCTCTCAAAGAGCCATGTGAGAAATTTGGGGATACAGGCAACCATTGGATGAGAAGCCTGGAAACACCAACTCAATGCCCAGAAGTGATAAATGCTCCATTTGCATTGACTGATGGCAAAAAAGAAGGGCAAACAGAACAGGCTAAATGTGAAGCCACTCTGTGACAGAAACTGGAACTTCTTGCCAAGGACCTGACAAAAGCCAGGCATGAAGATAGAGGCTGGACGGTATGGGATGGAGCATCCACGACTGAACTTGACGGAAGGGAAGAGGAGGGACCACCTGCAGTTGGAACAACCAAGGAAACAAGGGTTGAGCAAGCCAGTA